GGTCCTCAGAATCTCAGAATCGTCTCTGCCCTATTTGGTGCATTTTCACATGACATTAATCAATAGCATTTCTTAGAAACACTTGATAATTTGGTGTAATTTTCCTGTAAATACCTTTTTAAAAATGCAAGAAATGTGGTGAAAAGCAGCAGATTTTTCCAGCCCAACATGTAAAGAAGCCCAGTTTTTTGGAAACCAACCCCATCTGGTAACACTGCATTAACACTGAAATATAATCAATTTTAAATGGATTCAGAATCATTCATGCCCACATCATGTTACATTTAATAAAAAATAGATGCCATTTCTTTTAGTCACAACCTCACAAGTTTTAAACTCTTTTCAGAAAGAATTTGCTGCACAGCAGAAATGTTAAAGAGAACAAGTAATACCTGTTTTATACAGGAAGAGATGAGACAATAAATCTACAATTTAATAAACATGGCTCACATTCAGATTTTTCTTTTCTTCCAGCTGTGGTCTAATGCACAAATAATCAGGAGTGATTTAGATTCAGAAATGTGTCACTTCTCACCTCTACAAGCTTGTTCCATTAATCGCTGCAATATTTACAACTGGTCCACTGACATTACCCAACTCCCTGTTCCCGTGTGAAATACAGCAGTCTGGTTTCTGCATGCAGAATAAAATATACCGTTTGCCCAGGGGAATCTGGACTTCAACACATTCCTTCATCTTTATTTTTAAGATTTTTAGTATTGAATTATTCAGTTATTAAAAGTATAACATATAATATGTTATATATTGTATTAATAAAGACTAAAATGGAATAACAATTTTGAGAAATTTCTCTGTGAACAAGTAAAAAAATCATTCTTTCATATAAAAAATGTTTGAAAATTTCTAGTGTTTGACAGAATTTAATCCTACAACAAGTAATCCCTTAAAGTATTAAAACCATCCAAATATGAAACAACTATAATAAAAACAAACAATAATGATGATAATAAGAATAGTAAATCGTCATTGTAGTCATATGAAGTGCTTTTAATTAATTTAATTTAACTCTGTTTTTGAAGGCATCTCAGTAAAGCACAGATGAAACAGGTCAGGGTGAAATGCTAAAATAAATATCTTTTTTTCGACCCTCTTTAAAAATGTGATGAATTTGTTTTGTGTCCAGGTTGTGGAGCGTCTGCTGACTCTGCCAGTGGCTTACTGGGACCAGTACGTGACGGCAGAAAATGTGCAGCCAAACTTGGCGCATTTGATCATTGAGAATGCCAACTGCTATGCCACCCCTGAGAGGAGTAAATATTTATTTATTTATTTATATTAAACGCCACCAAAAGCAGGACTCCCGCAGATCTTAGTCTTAAAATGCAATGAAATCATGAATCCAAAAATAAGGTATTAATTAGCCTTAAAATGTCTTAAATCAGTCTTTTATTGTAGGGTGATTGTAATTCTTCTCAAATATTAAAATAACTAGTAACATTTTTTTATTTTTATATAATATACTAAATACCTCTCTCATCTAGTTGGTTTGTGTTAAAATAAACATTTGGGTCAAATTATTGCCTTATTTTGTGTGTGTGTTTATTATGAAGTTGGTCTTAAATATCATTTCAGTAGTCTTAACTTGAACTTGCCTTAAGCTGTAGGAGCCCTGAACAGGCAATATTGGTTTTGCCTTTGTCTCTGTGTTCATTTGTCTATTTGTGTTAGCAAAATATCTCTTGAACCAGTGCATACATTTTAATTAAACAGTCAAAGTAATTATTGGATAACGATTTCCAGCTGCAGGACCTCTTAATTCCCAAATTATTTATACAAAACAATATAACTTTATGTATAAAGCACTTAAAAAACACTGCTGATCAAAGTGTATAAAAGAACAAAACACATCTCAAAATGAGTGAGACAAAAATCTGTTTTCAGAAAAGATTTAAACATTTTATGTGAGTCAGCTTGTCTAATATCAAAGGGTTAGTTTAATACAGATTACAGATTAATACAGTTAAAGACCAGCAGATCAGTGCAGTCAGTTCAGATGTTTTTATGTAAAATGTGTAGGAACCCTGAATGCCTCAGGTACTGATGCAAACTGACATATTATCATTTAATGGTTGCAGTGACTTTGCTGGGACCTCTGACCACTCCTGAGCTGAACAAGACCCCTTCCTCCAGCTCCCTGTCTCAGCGCATGAAGTCCACTCTGACACCCAGGTAAACACAAACACACCACTTCTTAACGTCACTTCTGCTTGAATAGTTTTAAATCTCAATCTGCTGCACAATTCAACTGATTTTGAGTAATTGGTCATTTCCTTTTCTGTGTCGCAGATTTGGAAGTAAGAGCAAATCAGCTGTTGGATTTTCTCATCAAGGAAGGTTTTTTTCTTCACCACACCTGAAATAACAGAAAGCAGCTACACCTGTTTCCTTTATACATTTAGATGAGGAGGAGAAGTGCCTCCAGTATAGCCATATTTCATAATAAAAGTTGGATTTTAAATATTGTGAAGGTATTTTTAAATCAAACGATAGGTTTTTCCTTTCTTTGCACTGCTTTGTGTCTTTAGGTCTATTACTAAATGCATAGCTTGTTTGATTTCAGATCYGAACTCCAACTGTACTGTTTTTAAAGAATATAGTTTGTATTGTATACTTTGATGTGTCCTGCTCATTTTGTTTGAGTTCTTCAGCTCATGTGTCACTCAAAAGTTGAAGAACTGATTGGCATTTCATTCTAGGGTGTAAGACATTGTTTTATATGCTTGTTTTTTTTATTTACATTAGATTTGGATTGTCCTCATTAGCCAGTGGTTTGTGCTTTAAATGTTTAGAATTGTACCCACCCTTGTTCTGTTGTACCTCGACTACAAAACAGTCATTACAAGATCTCAGAACAGGTGTTTTTTGATGGACAGGCTCTTCTCTGTTTGTTTTGTAAATGTCTGAAACTGAAGCTTCAGAGCAGCTGTGCCTGTATTGATCAGGAGCYTCAGTCTCTACTTTATCTGATCATTTTCCTCCTCTAGTTCATGCTGTAGGAGGTACTTGATGAGCAGACCCATTAAAAGGGCAGTTTCTTTATATTTGCCAGTTCAGTTCCCATGGCATTGTTGATCTTTTAACATTTTGTACACAAATATGTTCTTCAAAACTCGTAAATTATAACATTTTTAACATTCATATTTGTGTCTTGTCAGTTTTTTTTTGTTCGATGAAAAAATCAGTCAGTTTTACAAATATTAAGCTAAAATTTGATGTAACTGAGTCATATGGGGTGCYGTTTGTAAAGTTACACAGTCAAAAAATATCACCAATATTTTTTGCTTTATTTAGCCTTTCATAAGAAAAACAAAAACCGGTTTATTTTGCAAAGTCAGATTTTCACCATGTTATTCATGCATTTATAAATGTCATAGTTTACAAAAAAAATATTTAACTTACAAATTAAATATTTAATTAGCAAGGTTAATATTTAGGTCTAAATTAAGTATTTAGTTTGCTAACTAAATATTTACTTTGGACTTAAATGTTTAGCTTTTGAACCAAATACTTCAGTTGCTAATTAAATATTTACTATCGAGCTAAATATTTAGCTCCAAACTAAATACTTTACTTGCAAATTACATATTTAGTTTGGAGCTTAATATTTAGCACGCCAACTAAATATTTGCTTGTGAATTAAATTTTTAAATTGGAATTATGACTTTTATAAATGTATGTATAACATCATGAAAAACTAATTTTGAAAAATAAACCTGTTTTTTTTTTTTTTTCTTATAAGGCTAAATGAAGCCAAAAAAATATTGGTGTTAATTTTTGACTGTAACGTAGCAAACGGCACCCCATAGAGTCATCCACAACAAATACTTGAGTAAATGATGTATTTTCTTTAAACTTTGTCAATAACTCCTGGAGTTTAATCTGTTAGCATAATATCTTGAAGCCATGAACAGAGTTTTATGAATTAGCTGCACATCTACAACAGATTTTGGAGCCAATCTGAGACAGCTGCCAGTTAATCTACATACATTTCAACAAAAGATGTTTGAAGGTCAGTTTTACAGATACTGAGCTAGAATTTGGTGTACAGTAGTTGAGTCATTCACAAACATGTACTGAGTGTAAGACTCACTTTGTTGAGAGATCTAATAGAGATGAGATGAGAAAACTACTCAAGTAAAACTGTTCACAAAAACTGGGAAAGTAAAAGTACTTTTACACACTCTCTAAGAAATAAACTGTTGAATTTACTGAACCAAACTGGTTCCACTAAGTCAGGTTGAGTAAAATGAGCAATATTAGTATTTTCTTTGCTCATTTTATTCAACTAGGCTTAGTGGAGCCAGTTGACATGACTTTGAGTAAATTCAACACTTCRTTTTTTAAAGTGCAGAAACATTTCATGATGAGTTTGAACATATTTAATTTTGTAATGAGTAACTAGGTGTTACAAAAAGAAAAAAATTGTATAGGTCTTCTGGACGGGTTCTTCTCTAATGAAACGTTTCATCTCTCCTCCAAGAGACTTCTTCAGTCTGAGTTTCAGGCAAAATTCAGGCTTTTAAGCACTGCCTCCATGYGACTGATACATCACATGGCTATCGTTGACACCTAATTAACACCTATTGTTAATGGGGTGGAGTGATACTGGCTATAGCAGCGCTGTAACACTCCACCCCCTGCTAACTAAAGTACCATAATTAGCTTTAAAATGTAATGAAGTAAAAGTAAAAGAAGCTGTTTAAAAAATTATTGGTAAAACTATAAATCCTCAAAAAAATTATGTACTGTAATGAAGTAAATGTACTTAGTTACTATAAACCTCTAGGAATCACTATATAAATACAGTCCATTTACCAAAGTACACATACATGTAACTGCATGAAAATGTAAGGAGCAGAAGTAAAAAGTTGGCTAAAAATAATTACTACAGAACAAAGATAACCAAAATGTCTACTTAAGTAAGTTAAAGTATTTGTACTTCAGTGCTTAACATCTCTGACTGAACCCAATATTCAAAAATATTTGTAGTTTTATTGTAACTGCAGTTGACAATGATAAAGGATCAAACATAACAGTATCAACGTTTTGGCCACGGCCAGAGCAGAGGAGTGTTCTTGATGTAGTCCTGGAAGGCGGGCTCAGATCCCCACCTCTTCGCAGCCTGCCTCTCCAGGATGGGGACGCCGCTGACGTAACGCAGCAGGAACCACACAAACAGTGGCGACACGACGCTGAGATACTGCGGGCCCCGCATCACCGACGAGGCTGAGAGCCAGAGACCCGACCACTGCAGGATCTCTCCAACGTAGTTAGGATGCCTGCTGTAGGCCCACAGCCCACTCTGGATGAACTTCCCCTGGAGACACGAAAATGAAGTTATTACTTTAAAGTGAACGAGGCGTCAACAGGAAGCGTCCGCTAACATACGGCGTTATCTGGATCGCTTTTGAAGAGCCACTTCTGTTGGTCAGCTATCGTCTGGATGGCAAAGCCAAGCCCCCAAACAGTCCAGCCGACGTAGTCCCTGGCCCCCAGAGGCTCGGTGCGCCTCTCGGTGTTCAGCATGAGGGTGGGCAGGAGGGTAATAAATATCCACACAGCTGAGGGAAATAAGAAAAATGACTCGGTTTCATCCCGCTCAACTTTAATCCTTCCATAAAATAAATGCATTTGAGTCGATGTAACCAGTAGGCTTTTCCTTGAATAAATGCATATAAAAAGCTGGAAACTAGACAGTGATTTATACAAGGCATCCCTCACTGCTGCTGGGGAGGAAAGCGTTAACATCCGTTCCAAGTACCTTGAATGGTCCAGTATACAAAGAAAGTCCCTGGGCTGTCTCTGACATTGTTGAACCTGCGATCGTGACCGTCCTTCAAGATCCGCAGGAAAAGAAACGTCCCCAATCTGTGGAGAGAACACGGTTAACATCCATCCACATTAACCAAGCCATCACTCATTAACTCACACTGACCCCACGTTAAAGTTTTACACCCATTCCTTCCTCCTCTGACCTCTCCTGTGGCTAAACTTAACTCTGACTGAGGGTATAACCGCCCGCCGCGCTCACCTGAGTCCCCACGCCGTCACCAGCCCGGCCTGGACCCTCTGACGGCTATGATTGGCTCCGCCCCAGATACGACTCAGGTGCACAAGGAGTATAAATGTGCCAGAACCTGCAGGCAGACAGGGAGAGATATGCCGCACGTGGGTACATGGCAGATTGCTTTTTTTTTTACTTGTCGCGGAGCAAGGCGTGCCCGATAAATCTTTTACCCAGAATACTGCAGACGACTGGTTCCAAAGTTCAAGGGTAAAAAATATCCAGAAGAAGTGAGAGAGAAGAAGGCGCGCAGAGAAGAAAAGCCAAGGTGATTTATTGGTGAAATAACTTTAAAAAAAGTAGTGTCACTTGTGTTAACAGGTAAGCAATCTAAAGTTGATTTGAAAGTGACTTTTTTGAGACATGGATTTACAAATCCAGAACTGCCTGAGACTGTACTTGTCATCTATTAAATAAGTTGCAATTTTTTTCTATTTTCTTATTTTAAATTAGTTTAAACTGCAGAAGAGTGAAGGTGATTGCGCTGCAAGGTTGAGTTAATCTGTTTGTCGTTACATTCTCAATGAAGTGATTAATAGTGAGTCTATGTGGCCCTGTGATGGACTTGTGACCTGTCTAGGGCGTACACCGCCTCTCACACAGTGACTGCTGGACATGGGCTGCAGAGACCCAGGAAGGAAGAAAAATAATGGACGGACGTTTGAAATAATGAACGTCTATAAAAGCTTGGAACTCCACACTACTCCAGACATTTTGAACTGAAAAAGCTTCCTGGATGGGAAGCGAAACGTGTTCAGGTTCAGAATAGAAATGCCTTTTTTWAAATAATAATTATTATTACTTATTACTATTTTTATTTTGGATTATACGGAGCCCTTGAAGGGACATGGGGAGAGAAAAAAGAATCCTGAGAAAGTATGTCAGGATCTGTTTTTATTTATTTTGTCCCTATGTCCCCTTACAGCTCAGTAGGATTGAAATAATAAAGTTAACGCAGGTTGTTTATGCTGTGAATCCTGCTCTAACTTGACTCCAACAATACACTGATTTTATTTATTTATTTATTTATTTTTTTTTTTATTTATAGTTATTAGAAATAGCATGAAATTAATTATACACTATACTTAATTATACACTATTTTGATTGGGGCCTACAAGAAGCCCTCTGTAGATTAGAAGGATAAGATCATGTGTGCAGCTCTGCTGCAGGAGGCGCCACTTTCCATTCAGACTCGTTTCACAACAAACCCGTTTTACGTAAAAAGCCTTTTGTAACTATTATCTAACACACAAAACGTTTTATTTAATTACAGGGTAAATACAGCTTGTTTTCCTGCAAAAAGTCACTTTCCAGTGAAACACAAACAAGATGCAGAAAGTTGTCTGCACGTGTTGCTTGTATTGTGATGTTTGTTGTGTTTACCTGCCAAATCGTAAAACTTCTCGGTTCTGAAAGCCGCAGCCAGAGCCCAGCCGACCCACTGGATCCCCAGGTCTGTGGCGGCACATCGGACCAGAACGCTCCCCATGACCAGCTCCGACAGCTCGGTCMGTCCCGAGGAGGAAACTCCTCCAAGAAAAAAATCAACAACAACCAGGAGGATAAAGTTCACTGATAAGACGAAACAGGAAGTAGATGTCAGTAAGGAATTCTGGGTAGTGTAGTTCAAATGGCCCATAGCTTCTGAATGGGACTTCATCCAAGTGTAAACAAATTGGATACGATTGAGTTTTATGGATTTTGTTTTTAATTACGATTCTTTTTTGCAATACTGAGCAAAAGATGAAAAAGTTTAGGGGAATTCCTGAGCCACTCTCTCATTCCTTCAGGTTTTCTTTTCCAATGATGAGTCAGACTACTGCAGTGTTTAAAAGGTCCTCTTGATCAATAGTTATCTGACATATTCTTAGTTATTTCCTATTTAAACTGGCTGATTTTTAAAATTTCATCAATTTTCTCAATCCTTGTATCTTTATCTCCTAAAATAATTATTTAAAACCAAATATATTTATTAATACCTTATTTAAAAGAATAAAAAGTTATGTCAAGATTTCATTTCATAGTTTATTCTATTTTGGTTTGGTTGTAACAATTCAGTGAATGGTTTATAAAATGAACGAACAAATGAATAAATACAAAATAAACAGCTAAATTTATAATGAAGACAAAAACTAGATTTTATTTATGTATTTTATTAGTTTTTGTACTGAAGACTTGACATGATGGTTTATAATGAAAACACTCAAATTTCCTTGTTTCATTATTTGCACTTTATTTTTTAAATAATTTTCCCCTTTAGAAGTAAAGTAAAAGAAAGGGTCTATTGATCTGGAGGCTGAAGCAGGGGGAAATATTTTTATTAACTTGATGAAGATAATAATTGAAGCTCATGTGTGACCAAACAGTGAAATGATGCTTTTTTTTTCTTTTCTGTTTCACCTCTGAAATAAACACAGACAACTTTTAACATGGCAGAGAGTACGAGTCCAAAAGGCAGCTCTGGTGACTTTGCTAAAAAGGTCCAAAGGCAGCTGAGCAGAGGCAAAGAAAAGGTGCGCACCTTGTGAGTTCTCCAAGTTTTTCAAACTATATGACAAAGAAAACTGAAGTACAGGGTTTTTTTGTGTGTGTGCATGTGTGTGTTTGCAGGTTTTGCAAAAGTTTGGAAAATCACTGGAGACCAGAGATGACCAGTTTGATCTGTACTTCCAGATTTTTAATGACCAACAGGTAAATAACAGCTGTGCTGAATTTAAAAAAAAGATGTGCTGAGTTAATCTGAGCCATAATATGAAACAATTTAACCTCCTGCTGAGGTCTGAGCATCTTCTAAACCAGGGGTGGGCAACTGCTGGCCCGCAAGCCGTATGTGGCCCTCGAGTGACTTYTGTYTGGCCCACCATTTTTTTWAMYTWAAAAAATGCRCTCAAAGCARCTCTTAGATCAGTCCTCTTTGGATCTACCTACATATGTGAACAGACATTCTCAGTCATGAAGTTCAACAAATCCAGGTACAGATCCTCAATGGTCACTGATAAGCAACTTTCTGCTGTTCTTTGCACCACGTTAAACAATGGAGCTCCCAGTAAAAAGACAGAACAGAAGACAATAGAGGACATTTGGATATRGAGTGACATTTTTCTGAGACCTAAAYATATTAAAGATATTAGGGTCTCAAGTACACCTTATGTAAACTCTTCATGTTACAACTCTGTAATGCATATGTCAAAAATGTGCTCAGGATGACATGGGCCAAGGTGGACATGTATACACGGGCTTGGACCCCGGTCATAACTGCTTCGCATTTCTAGTTGTTTTTGTTTTTACTGTTTTTAATAGTAATATTTTCCTTTATCACCTACATCACAATTTCACATATTTAAATAAATATTTACAACATAGCAGCTAATCAAAATATATAATTTACTGCTCCTAACAATGGGTAAAAAAATGACTAATAAGCAGAATTAAATACAAGGTATCGTTGGTTTCAGCCCTTCAACATAGCTCAAGTTTCTCATGTGGCTCATGGAGAAGAATAATTGCCCGCCCCTGTTCTAAACCCTGTGATGATTTATTGATTGCAACCAGTGGCTCAAACATCATAAAAGCAACATGTAAAAACTGGAAGTCATATAAATGTCTTGTCTGCTTACAGACCGATGGGAACCGAATATACAAGGACCTGAGGAACTACATTAATGCAGTGAGAGGTAAAGCGGCTCTTTGCCTGCAGCTGACGCAGAGCTGCAGATGTGTGCCCTCTGCAGGACTCAAACAGGACCTGATTTTGCTTATTTGCAGATATGCGAGAAGCTTCCAGGCGCCTTTCTCAGTCTCTGTTTGATGTTTACGAAAGCGACTGGGCTGGGGAGGAAGACCTGGGAGCCATCGTCGAGGTCAGTGATAAAACAGCAYGAATCCACCCCTCTGTTTAGAGTTTTACAAGCACAAGAGCAACAGAATTAATGAATCACGAGGGGAACACAAAGCCTGATCTCTCCCTCTATGCGTAACTGATACATTATTTGTGCYGGGCGTTTTACTGAAGGGGGAGGACCTGTTGTGGAATGACTTCGAGGTGAAGCTGCTGGACCAGGCCGTTCGCACCATGGAGTCCTACGTGGGCCAGTTCCCAGACATGAGGGTGAGGCCATGAGAAACAAAGAGAGTTAAACACACAGTGGGTGGGAAGAAGCCTGCAGAGAAAAACACATAAAGTGAAGCAAACACACTCGTAGTTCAAACACACTCACACACAGACAGATAATTTGTACGAGTCTTCGTTAATCTGTAGGAGAAAATCGCCAAGAGGGGAAGGAAGCTGGTCGACTACGACTCCTCTCTTCGCCATCTGGAGACTCTGCAGTTGGCAAAGAAGCGGGATGATGTCAAGATTAACAAGGTGGTTAGAAGAACACACAGATATGTTTATTATTTTTACCATTTATTGAAGTAAACTGAAGTTTCTTTCACATTTCAGGCAAAAGACGAGATGAAAGCTGCCAAAGCTGTTTATGATGGACTCAACAGTGAGCTAAAAGAGGAGCTTCCTGTTCTCTATGACAGGTCTGGCATTTTCCTTTCATTATTTTTGATCTTCTTTGTGCAAATCTCACATCAATGTTTCCCTCCTTTAGTCGTATCGGATGCTACGTGACAGTCTTCTCATCTGTGTCTAATTTACGGGACATCTTCTACAAGGAAATGAATACGGTATGTCTTGTTTTGTCTTGGCACTTAACATTCATCAGGATGACACACAGGTTTGTTTTTTTAACCAGATGTTTTTTTTATTTGTTTTGTTTTAGCTTAATCTTGATCTACAAAGCGTAATAAAAGAGCTCCAGGCTCAGCATCCTGACAAAGTGTTCTCAGTGAGAGGGCTGCAAAAGTAAGGCTTCCCTTGTAGCTTTAAATGTTGTCTCTTTTTAGGTTTATTGTCAGATGCTGTATATCCACTCATCGTGGGCATGAATTATTTTGGGGCTTTTAATCTTTTATTTGAACCATTCTTTTTTAGGGTGGACTGATTATACAGCAAACCATGATTTTATAAATCATACATGGGCGYACAAGTAAATAAATTGTGATTTTTTTTTCTAATCCACACATTAAACCTCCTTTTGAAGGTTATGGTTTATGCTTTATGGCAGCGGTCTCAACCAGTAGCTCATGAGCTCATATAAATTAGCTCTTCAGYACTTGTGAAAAATTCGGAGAAGCAAAATTTAATTGTCACTGGCTAAATAAATCTTCATTTAATTCCAATCAATCTATAAATGTCCCTTTCCCTTGGTTGTCAATCAAGCAGTTTTGGGTTCAGTAGGGTTGATCGGCAGATGAYGCGCGGTTATGTGTTTGTTCAGCGTTGGTTTTCACACACACCTTTCATAGCCCCTTGAGACACACCGTGCCATGCTCCTGGGAAACCCCTCCCACTGCGGTATACATCACTGCACGGGGTTTCTCCCTGCTGGAGTCTACAATGCGAAAAAAAATTGGAGATCCAACACCCGACGTTATTTGTGCACAAATCTGTTGCAGTTAAAACCTAAGTTATTTGTGTGAAATAAACTGTAATATGAATRGATAAACAAAAAAGCACAACTATGTATATTCACTGTTCTTTGTGGTGGTTTCATATGAATTGAAGACAAAGTTTTTTGTGCAAAACAAGCTTATTCCAATGGTTTAGTTTTAAAATTAAATGTTGCAAAAAGTAGCTCTCGGACAATTTTGTTTTACACTTAAGGTAAAAAAAGGTAGAAGTGGGGTGGATATAAAAAAACCTTAATGAGCGTGGGCCCATTTCTCTCCCGAAAAAGACTCTGGTCTTTATTCAAACCTTCTCGTCCCTCGGATGAAGGACACCAGGTTAGAAACRCTCGGTGTTCTGAGCTTCTCAGGATCCATAAAGGGGTCCCCAAGAATTATTTTCCTTTGACTGCTCAGAGCCAGGCAGTGGACTAAGTAGTGCAAAGAGGTCTGTAGTTCAATGCCACAGGCATCACACAGACCATTGTCATGGAGTCCCATCACCATTTTATGGCGATTGAGCAGGTTGTGCTCAGTTAAGATTCCAAGCAGTATATCTAAAGATTTTCTTGTCAGGACGATGAGAGCTTTCCCAAACCTTTGAAGCTTGCACCACCACCATGCACCAACTGGTGCAGTGGTGTTAGGTTTTGCACGCCTCACAGGTGTCGAACTCCAGTCCTCAATGGCCGCTATCCAGCATGTTTTCTTGTTTCCCTGCTCAAACACACCTGATTTGCATGAATGGATGATTAATAGGCTTCTACAGAATTTGAAGATGTGATTGAATGAATCACAGAATCGGGTGCGTTGGAGCAGAGAAACATGCAGGATAGCAACCCTTGTCTTTGTGACTAAATTGCTCAATTTTTGTCTTCTCTGACCACAAAACATTTCTTCAGAAGTCATGCTGCTTTTAAAGCAAGAGTGATGAAAGAGTTATGGCAGAGTGATGGCAGAGTGGTGACAGAGTGATGGCAGAGTGGTGACAGAGTGATGGCAGAGTGGTGACAGAGTGGTGGCAGAGTGGTGGCAGAGTGGTGACAGAGTGGTGGCAGAGTGGTGGCAGAGTGGTGGCAGAGTGGTAGCAGAGTGATGGCAGAATGGTGGCAGAGTGATGGCAGAGTGGTGACAGAGTGGTGACAGAGTGGTGGCAGAGTGGTGGCAGAGTTATGGCAGAGTAGTGACAGAGTGGTGACAGAGTGGTGGCAGAGTGGTGACAGAGTGGTGACAGAGTGGTGGCAGAGTGGTGGCAGAGTGGTGGCAGAGTGATGGCAGAGTGGTGGCAGAGTGATGGCAGAGTGGTGGCAGAGTGATGGCAGAGTGACGGCAGAGTGGTTAGGTGAGTCGTCCTGCACCCAGTGGGTTGCCGATTCAATCCTCCATTCCAACCGTCTCAGTCATTGTGTACTTAGGCAACACTTGGCCTGCCTTGCCCACTGATGGTGGTCAGAGGGTCTGGTGGTGCAGAAGGCAGCCCCGTCTCTGTCAGTGCCAGGGCAGCTGTGGCTACATTGTAGCTTACCATCATCAGTGTGTGCGAGTAAATGATGCATGAAATTGTAAAGCTTCTTTTGAGGGTCTCAAAAAGTGCTAAATAAGACTGATAC